AAACTATGAAAATTGGTCTCAGAAACTTATTTAGTTTTATATATTTCCTCTTATAATTTAGACTACTAATTATCTTTCTTCATTTAGGAGTTCTAGGGATATGGTAATGATGGTTTTATATAAGGTGATAATGTGATATATACAAATTAAAGTGTTCATTTTATGATATTGGGTCAAAGGTCTAAACCTTAGAATGACACGTATGAAAACATTGGAATTGTATTAAATGTGTATCGTGTATATTGTATTTGATCTGATAGGGTTATAGGATATGATAACCCACTTTTCCAACGGAGCTCACTAGCTTAGGGTTAATAGACATCCCGGTTTTATTTACTAGTAGACCTCCCAGATAGCTCGTCTAATTCTTGTAGGTCTGATGTTACAACTCATCTAACTTCCGTGGTTCGTCTAATATTGGAGCTCGTTTAACTCCAAAAAATGTTCCAATACAAATATTTATTGCTTCATTTTATTTAATAGTTTCATCTCCAAGTAAAGACAAAAAATTTAACAATTGCACCCATGAAAAAAGGAGAAAAGCTTGATATTGTATTCTATAACAATTGTCCATTGGAAAAAAATCATCAATATTGGTCAAGAAACTTAGGAAAAATCGGCTGTGATCGAAATATTTGTCCAATGCAAGTGCTTTCATGTAAAGATATAGAGAATACAGATAAGCAGCATACGTGGGAAGTAGTAAAGGTATAAGTAAATATTGCATTTTCAACAAATTTAATAATTGTGTATTGACATTTAAATTAAAAGTTTTATGTTTTTCTTCAAAATTTTATAGGAATATTGTTTTGATTTAAAAAAAAAAATCATAGGAATGTTTTGATAATCGAAATATTGAGTTATGTCGTGATGATACCCTAGAGCATATCTGTACTTTGTGGACAAATTGGAGGTCACTTTTGAATATAAAATTTCTGAGACCTTGCATCAAGTAAGACTGAGGCTTTAAAAAGTGTTCTACCTGGAGTAAATATTGAAGATTCGAAGTGGTTTGTCACTAACAAATTTATGACAGAAAAGTTTTAGGTATGTTGATATGGTAATGGCGGTTTTATATATTATAAAAAATATTTTTTATTTAAATAATCACTTACATTTGAAAGTTATGCAGAAAATCAGTTAGCAAAACACTAAGAATAGGTCAACATCAGATATGGGAATGCCTCATCGCACAGGGAGTAACCAGGGAGTAACCCACATAGAGAAATCATATTGAAATAAATGTACTAAAAAAACAGTTATGCTAGTAAGACTGAGGCTAGAATAACATTTGTTTTTTTCAACTTATTGGGATGTAAAGATTCACAACCGCCTGACTTGGGAGTAATTTTCTTAAAGACTATAAGCAAAATTGAAAAATTAAATGGGACAAAAGAAGAAGAAAATATGTAATCTAAGTGTCATTATTTAGCCTTTCTGCATTAATCTTTTTATCTTGATATACTTCTGCATTAATCTTGTTTACTTGTAAACTTGTTATAGAATGAAATTGTGAAGATTATTAGGTCTAACCCATCACTTTCAAACCTTGAAATTGTTGAAAAACATTTTGGACAACAACGTCATGGTCATGTATATGGTTATGGGGGTGGAGTGAAGCGAAAAAACTTTAATGACACAAAATCTATTTACATCAAAGAGCTAGAGGCTAAACTCCGTGAGAAGGATGAAGAAAACCGTAACCTTAAGAAGCGCATGGATATATTTGAAAGTAGGTCGATCCGAATAGAGAATGGAGATCCACCATTAGTTACAACTATAACTAGTGATAACATCCAATAGGTACATAAAGTTAATGGAGAGAAACCTTTAATGTTGTTTATTATATAAGGAAATAACTAACTGATATTATTTTTTGAGTTCCTTATAGAAAATGACTAAATTTTTATTATTCCAGGGTGCTTAAACTCAAGATATGAACATTAAATAGCGAAATTTCACAGAAATTTTGCACAAATTCAAACCCTACTTCCCCAACCCTTAATAAAACCGTTGTCTTAAACAAATAAAGAACGCGCAACGACAACGGTTATATAAAACCGTTGTGGTTTTAGTGTTGTGTATTCAAGTGCGCTTAACGACAACACACCAACGACGATGGTTAAATAAAACCGTTGTCTTTAAAAAAAAAAAAAGAGCGCACAAAGACAGTGGTTTTAAACAATGGTTGTCTTTCTAGTGTTGTGTATTCCAGTGCGCTTAAAGACAACACACCAACGGCAACAGTTAAAAAAAATGCACATAGACAACGGTTTTAAAAAGCCGTTGTCGTTGTGTTGTTGTCTTTTCACAAATGCACAAAGACAACACACTTATAACAATGGTTAACTAAAAACCGTTGTCTTTGACAAAAGTATTGCATCATAGACAACGGTTTTGGACCAAACTGTTGTCTTTTATACAAAAGACAACACTTTTCTTAAAAACTGTTGTCTTTCTAGTGTTGTATATGTGCATTTTTCTTGTAGTGAAAATTCTCAACTTTGTATTTCATTTCGCATGCAATGGCCTTGAATAGCCATTAACAAGCAAATTACAACCACATAAATGAGATAGTTATTAAGAAATGATAAACTAATCCTAATTAACAAACTAAGATAAACATTAATAATAATAATGTAATACTAACAAATTAAATCTAAAATAATTTGGAGATAACCATCCTAATTAATTAATAAAACTAATTCTAAAATGTTCTAACAACCAATTGTTAATTCTCGTGCCGACAACATTCCCTCTTTCTTTAGAGGGATTCGTCCTCGAATCCACGTTTTAGGCACCGTTAAAGCTTCATGAGTCTTCGTGAAGAGACAACTGTGTGCTCTGATTCCAAATGATGCGAATCTGATTGGCCCGATATTTTCTTCGCCCTCTAATTTAAAGAATATTTTAAAATGAGTTTATTAGGCTAGGTGAAATCGGATATGGAGGTTTAGCTTGGGCTGGGAAAAGGGCTAATTTTTGGATTTTGATAAGTCCTCGACCACACCAGGTTATAAGGTGATACGTAGGATAAGAATGACGCCACAAATGAGGTTCCACACTTGATAAGTCAGGTTTGTCATGACCAACTCATGGCCGAACTCATCACGGATTCAACTTTGTATTTCATTTAGCATGCAATGGCCTTAAATAGCCATTAACAAGCAAATTACTACCACATAAATGAGATAGTTATTAAGAAAAGGATAAACTAATCCAAACTAACAAACTAAGATAAACTTTAATCTTAACTATAATAAAGTTATATGGTTTGGGAAGTAATTATTGTTACAATTATTATCTCTATCCTTATTATTATTATAAAATAGCCACAACATCCTTTACTAGAAAAAAAAAAAAAAACAAAACATTTGAAAAATAAAATAGCAATTTTTTCTCCCCATAACAAAGGATTACATTTATTTTAAATTTACTCATACAAAATTTGAAATTTGTTTTCTAAATGTAATTATCTTAGTTATTATTCGTATTGTGAAAATTATAATATAGATGAAATACAATTAAGAATAAAATATCAATGTAATTATGTAAATTCTCTCTATAAGTTTATTTGAATAGGTACATAATTAGAGATTATATTAACCACACAAAATTTTAATTTTAATTTTAATTGTAATTTTTTATTCTATAAAAATAATAAATACTTGACCGATGGAAGCTCAAAAATATTATTATATTAAACTATTTAAAATATTTTTGTTTTTTCTATTTTTTATATATATTTATAATAACATCAATTTTTCCCCTGCATCACGCGAGTGAATTACTAGGTCAAAGGTCTAAACCTTGGAATGACACATATGAAAACATTGGAATCGTATTAAATGTGTATCGTGTATATTGTATTTGATCTGATAGGGTTATAGGATATGATGTTAGGAACCCTGAGCTGTGATTGTGGTTGCATCACAATAATAATCCAAATGCCTTTTTGGAACACGCCTGTTTCTATCTGAACGACGTGGCTGCATGTCAATAGGGGTTGAATTGTTGTTGGCAGATTCAGAGAATTGGGTGGCAGATTCAGGAGAGTTGTGTTGAAGCTTCTAGGAGTTGCTACTGGAATGATGGTGTTCATCTTCCAAAGGCTCTGAGATATTAAAATCAGCCGCATCTGGATTGAATTGTGGCTGTTCAAAGTCATGAACCTACTGATCATCCAAGTCTATGTCCGTGGAGATAGGGACATTGGGTAGAGATGGCTGTGAGGACAGAGTGGGATCAAGCACATCCTTCTCTGCCATGGGGAACTGGCCTTCATAGAATGTAACATCTCTAGATATAATGGTGGATCCTTCATCTGCATCATACAACAAATATCCTTTGATTCCAGCTGGAAAACCATGAAAAATATACCTTTTGCCCCGGGGAGCCATTTTGTGTCTTGCCTTAGAGTTAGTGGCAACGTAGCATAAGTAGCCAAATACTCTTAGAGAAGATATGTCAGGGGAGCTGCCATACAACATCTGATATGGAGTGGAGAGATTGATCACCGGAGAAGGCAGCCTATTTATTAAGAACATTGCATGCATTATACAATGGCCCCAAAAATCATAAGGAAGGTGAGCTTGAAAACGGAGTGATCTTGCAACATTGAGGATGTGTTGATGCTTACGCTCAACTACTGCATTTTGTTGAGGAGTGTTGACACAAGAACGTTGATGTACAATGCCATTTTCTAAAAAGAAATCATCCATTCTAAACTCAACTCCATTATCACTTCTAATAGTTTTAATCATCTTACCAAAATGAGCGTGGACACATATGCATGAAACCTCTTCATAAATTGTCTAGTTTCAGCTTTATTATTCATCAAATGTATCCATGTAAACCGAGAGTAATCATCAACTATAGTAAGAAAGAAACGTTCCCCCTTGAAAGAACAAAATGGGAAAGGTCCCCATATATCTACATGGATCAAGTCAAAACAAGCTTTTGAACTAGTAGTGCTTAAGGGGAAAGGCGATCATTTGTGCTTAGCTAGATATATGGCACACATCACATGCTATATTTTTAACTTTTGATCTATAAATATCACAAAGGAGGTGGAGCTTGTTGGTTGAGAAATGCCCCAGCCTTTGATGCCAAAGCTCCGGACTAGTGCACTGCATAACATAGCACTTATTTTGTGACTTTGGTTCCACCCATATGTATAGGCCATTTTCTTCTTTAGCTAAACCAACTATCTGCCCATGAATCCCCTGAATTGTGCATTGTTTGGACATGAAAGTCAGTGTATATGCAGCATCCTCAATCAATTTACTCACAGAAACAATATTAAACTTGAAAGATGGGATATGCAGTGCTTCCTTTAGGCATAGATTCTCACTTAGCTTGGCATCCCCTATATGTTCAACTGATATACATTGGCCAGTAGGGAGGTTCACTTTAACCTCATCCACCATGTGATAATTGGTAAGACAATCAAGGGAGCACACTATGTTATTTGTGGCTCCCGAATCAAGGATCCAAGTGTGAGAACTTAAAGAAAAGGAGTTAATAGAGAAATTGTCTTCACTGTCTGTGTGTAGCTCATCAAACTTAGGAGTTAAAGCAATAGCAGAAGTCACATTTGAACTAGATGGTCCGGATGGTTGTGTTTGTTGAGTCTGAAAAGCTGAGATAAGTTTCTGTAATTGCTCAGATGTTATTCCCAGATCTGAATTGTTCAAGAATGATGTTGTAACTGGCTGTTTATTCTTAGTTTTGTAGCCTTGAATCCAACCGGAAAGGAATCCATGTTTCTTATAGCACCTATCCACTGTGTGTCCAGACATGCCACAATAGGTACATTTTGCTTTTGCACCATTGAACTTTCTGCCATTGTATGAGGATGCAGCAATAATCTCCTCACTCAAATTACTTTGAATTGCATTGGATTGATTCAGATCAAAATTACCTAGATTCAGATTTCTCAAAGCAACTTGTCTCTCCAATTTTTCAGCCATAACAAAAACTTTATAAACTTCTGGCAGAGGATCTAAAACAAGTACACTGGACTTCAAGCTATCATAATCTCCATTTAATCCTTTCAAAAAGAGAATTACCTGATCCAACTCTCTCTCATTTCTGATGACTTCTACGAGATCACATGAGCATTTTGGAGTGCATTTGCAGAGAGGAATTGGCCTCATGTTGTTCATTTGCTCCCACAAGGTTCTGCTCTTAGTGTAATACTCGTTAACAGAGAGAGTTCCCTGCTTAAGGTTGTGGATCTCACTTTGTAGGCTAGAAATGCGTTGTGCATCCCTCTGTGATAAGCGTGTGCGCAGATCCTCCCAAATATCTCTCAGTTTATCAAAGTGCATAACACATTGCACTGTAGATGGATGAAGCGATCTGAAGATCCAGGAGCAGATCATCAAACTTGTAACACCCCGAAATGTTGAAACTTTTAAAACTTATATAATAAAGGTAAATTCTCAGAAGTCCTAAAATAGAGTATTATTAAACAGAAGGGTGCGGGGTAAATGCCACATCTGAGCTGGAGAACTCAGATGCACAGGCTAAACTAACTAATTATCCTCGATACATCATTGAGGCACGCAGGCCAAAAAGGAAAACTATCTATCTACTCCAAGCTCTTCTAGCCCGCTCGGGGAACCAATCAGCTGTGCCTGAAAGCCAAATATATCTGTTCAGCGAATGATGCCGGTAACCCACTTCAAATATATATATACGAAAATCATTTTGAAGCAGGAAGATATATACTTAAGAGACACTAGTTTTTAAACCAGGAATAGACTCAGCAAGTAGGGACAAGCACATCAAACCATGATAAACAGTTACGTAGAGATAACATCATAAGGAATACGCATCTAAGGTCACAGAACACTTTTCAATTGAAACACATTATCACTCAATCAGCATTCATATCACATAATCGTTGATGGCGCCAAGGGGGGACTTACGACCCTACACACCGTTGATGCGCATAATCGGTGGACCGTAGCGGATCAAGCACGACACACTGCTGAGCTAAACTCAGTCGGTGGGCGAAGATCCTCGGAGACTACGGCTCTATATACCGATGTCCCATCACTCGGTGGGTCGCAGCCAGCCGTAGCCCTACACACCGCCTGATTACTCAGGTCGGTGGACTACAGCCTTCCTCGGCTTGTTGGCCCTACACACCGCCTGGCGCGTCCAGGTCGGTGGGTCATATCACTGAGGCCCATGTGGACCTTCAGTCCTATATAATCTTTATATACCTGACCGGTCTCTACCAACCTGGTTAACAGTTGGGATGGTTCTCAGCCCATTCAACTGCCCGTATAGTGGACCTCAGTCCTATATAATATTTTATTCCTGACCGATCTTAACCGGCCTGGTTAACAGTTGGGATGGTTCTCAGCCCATTCAACTGCCCGTATAGCCCACTTGTTCTTAACCAAGTTGGGGGATCATGCATCACATAACACACAATTGCACATAATAACACATAATAGCACATAGGGAAGGGGAGACATATAATTAAGCTTACGTGTGATCATTCACATACTAAGAATCGTCCTAAGGGGTTCATACGACTACCACCTAGGTCAACGGGTTACCGATTCAACTAACATGCAATTCCTAAGATTCACTTATCCTACGAACGGTACCCGAAACATCAAACTAGACTCAGGCACGACAAACGGGGTCCGTTGGGACACCACGGGGGATGGGGGACATCAAACAGGGAAGTCGGGGACCCGGGATGGGTCATGGACCAGCGGGTACCCCTACCCCCACCTACCCCCCACTGACTCATTCATCACAAATTCGTCCCGGGATCATTTGTGGAACCCGAAACCATGCTTAGACACTTTTAAATGCAATTATCGACACCACGTAGTCAATTAATGGATAAAAAGCAAGAATCACGTATAACTCATCCTATTACGACTTCTAAACATAAACAACACCCGAACATGCTAATTCCCGCCCGATATATATATCAAGAACATTATATCACAAATTAAGAAGTTCTTTGTTTCTAACATTGAGGAAAAGATCCAACTAAGGGTAGGGTCTTGGAATAAGAAGTTGCTATCACAAGCAGGGAAGGAGGTTCTGTTAGAAAGTGTGGCCCAAGCTATGCCGATTTTTACTATGAGCATTTTTCTGTTGACTGATTCCTTATGTCTGGCTATTGAAAGGTGTATGAACAGGTTCTGGTGGGGCAAGAATGGCGCAGGAAGGGGCATTCATTGGATAGCCTGGGACCGTTTAAGTAAGCCTAAAGCTGTTGGAGGCCTGGGTTTTAAGGATATCATGACTTTTAATCTGGCTATGTTAGGCAAGCAGGTGTGGCGCTTTCTTATAAACCGGGATTCGCTGGCGGCCCGTGTTTATAAGGCACGGTATTTCCCTAGGACAACCTTCTTTGATGCTACGTTGGGCAATAACCCTAGTTACTGTTTGAGGAGCATAATGGCTGCTCATGCCCGTATTTGCACTGAGATGAGGAGAAGAATTGGGAATGGTGAGTCTATTCTAATATGGTAACATCCATGGCTTCTTGGTCCCAACCCTATGATCACCACCACCGCACCACAGCAACTGGCTAATTCAAAAGTTGTGGGTTTAATTGACCAGGATACTCATACTTGGGACTTGGCTATTTTAGAAGACATTTTTGAGCCAGGTGATGTGGATAAAATTAAGAGAGTGCTTGTGTGCCCGTCTTATGAGGATTCTTGGTATTGGCACAAGGATATTAGTGGTTTGTACTCAGTTAAAAGTGGTTATAGACTTCTAACGGGTGAATACACCTCTGACCCTACCATATTTGATAAATGGTCCGCAATGTGGAAATTAAAAGTCCCCCCCCCAAGTGGAAGACCTTCCTGTGGAGAGCTTTAAGTGTTATCCTCCCTACTACCACTAATCTCCTTCATGCCCAATGCGTGTTACTTATCATGAAGATGTTATGCACTCTCCTGTTAATTGCTTGCCATTATGCTAGTCTTTTTTGGGATGTTTCCCACCTTCTGATCTCAAGTGTGGTTGGAGGTATTTTACGGAATGGTTTCGGAATGCTATGTGTATATTAACGCCAGATGTTCTTGTTAAAGTGGCTGCAGTGCTCTATCATATTTGGAATTCTAGGAAGAATGTGGTTTGGGACGCATGCATGAAGCCTCTACGGCATGTTGTGTCACAAGCTATAAATGCCTACGCTTCTTGGGAGGCGTCGAATCTGCCGCCACCTGCCATGTCGCTGCAGCAGCAAGTCTTGCCACATCCCCCAACCGGAGCTTGCTGTTGCTACTTCGATGCCGCTTTCAATCAGGACTCGGGTGCAGCTGCATAGAGGGTAGCTCCCTTCTCCGCGCCGCAACGGTGTTCTGTCACCATTCTCCGACGCTCTCACGGCCGAGGGCTTGGCTTGCAAGGAAGCGCTGTCCTGGCTTAGGCCCCGAACAGCTCAAGACGTGGCAATTTATACTGATTGCGGGTTTCCCTTTCTGCAATAATATGAATTTTTTTTTTGTAGTTTGCAAACTATTACACAAGTGTGGACTTACACAACATGTACTCTTAAATAGTGATTGCGGGTTTCGTACCTGGAGGGTATACATAGGCAAATTGTTACTCCTATATGATAGAGTGCAAATTACATAAGAGAGGTAAATCGCACAAGGAAGATCGTGTACGTGCCACAACACATGCCCGGTACTCATGCGTAATAGCTTACAAACTACACAGGAAAAATATAATAAATCGCACTAGCATGAAGACTCAGTACGATGGACTTAACCAAAAAGTGTTGGAAAGAATCAAACGTGTACCTTTTTAATACAACAATATAATCATGTGTTCTTTACTCACTCGACCACATTTTCAAAGCAAAGCAGACACTATTGATCTTATTACATATATTTGTCATTCTATCACCTACAAAGAATTACAAACTCAAAGAAACAACGAGAGAAAGAGAGAGATGGTATCACGAAGACTCCGAAGGAGGGTGGCATCACGCAGAAAGCTTCACATTCTACAAACCCTTTCCAAGTCCAAATCAGTAAATCCAAATCTCTGTCTATAGTGTATCTCTAATAAATATTCTCTAATTAATTTCTTTCTTCTTTCTTTGATCTTAATTGTTTGTAATGAAGGTCAAAAAGAGCAGTGCCATCATGCATGTTCTTACTTGCATCCTCAAGATGAAACTGCATATAGAAGCAATCACAAGACAATATCAATACCACTACAAAAATAATATCCAAGTAATTCATCTAATCTCTTCCATTTCTCTCTCTAGCTAATCTCTTTTGCCATGCCCAGACGAGCTTAGCTCAATAGTTCACTAGGCAGTATTTAGAGAAGAGACCAAGGTTTGAACCTCGACGGTGACAGTGTGGAATTATGCTCAAAGCATGGTCCCATTGAGCTTCACTCTGCGCAAGCTACAGAAAAGAAGAAAGCATTGTCAATTAATCATAAATTGCTAAGAGCAATCTACATGAATTATTTAAATCTGCATTATGTTCAATTAATTTACCTGACATTCTAACAACGCTTTCTTGAGACAGGTCTGTCCCTCTTCCACTTCCTCTCCCTCCTCCTCTCACTCTCCCTCTCACAGCAGTCGATGGTCTTCCTCTTCCTCCAACAGCAAAAGAACCATCACTCTTCCTCTAACAGTAGAAGAACCAGCAGATTCTGCTTGTTGGGTTGACAATGTAGGACAAAATCGTTTGTTATGTCCATATCCCTTGCATAATTGACATGTCATAATTCTTCCTTTTTTAGACAACTTTCTAACTCTTCACTCATTTTTTGCTTGTTTTTTCATTTTCTTCAAGCTTTCTTTTTTTTCTTTGGCCTACCAGTCATCTTCCTTGGAACAGGAGTAAGTATTTCATCACCTTCAGTCCTTGGCCAAAAGATTTCCTCATTCAATGGCTAGTAAAACTTAATTAGAAGAAAACATTATATTCCAGTTTTGTATTAATTAATTAATAAACTAATGGTATAATACCGAATTTCATATATGAATGCAGAACTGTAAACACTTTTAATTTATGTATTCTTTTCCACTTTTCTAACACTATGTCCTTATCTTTTCAAATCAAAGAAGCTTAGTAGGACCTATTGTATCAAAAGCATACACATTTGTATTCACAACAACCGTACGCATCATATATATTGTGCGCAGCAATAGTACAATATATATAATTCACAGAAAAGAGAAAAATTTACACATTATATATATTATGTACAGCAACAGTACACACACACACACAGACGTTTAAGAGGGGAGTGTTCCCTTTGGGTTTCAAGAAACACCCATAGCCTAGTGGTTAGGAACTTGGTCTTA